AATCTCTCTAAGCATCTGACCTCCCACCATGTGCTGGCAAACAGCACAGGTTTGGCATAACGTTTGGCATATCTTTGCGGGAGACAAAGCTGGGGAAAAGTCTTTTTATATCCTACATCTATGCATTTGTTTCTCTAGTCAACCCAGACAACACACTATGCAAGCCACCACCAACTAACAGCTGGTCTATCACTTGTTTTTGTCGCCGGGCGCTGTGAGGTCCGCTGTGATTCACAGCGGGGCTTGCATCGCAGCAGGAAGCGCCTCCCAGTCCTGCCCGCCCTCACAGTTGTCTTGTGTCTGAGCCCGTTGCTGCGCCCGCTGTGTCCATCCATCTTGCTGAGGGCCTTCCTCTTTCCACTGCCTGGGGTAGTTGCTTAATTTCATGTCAGCTGGAAGATATGAAAGTGTAGGGGTAGAGTCAAACCAATCTATCAGGTCACAGCCTGATGGTGCCTCCTTGTGGGCGTGGCCTTCCCATGAGGAGGGTCCTGGAAAACTCACCCCCACCACCCCTTCCTTCACCTTCCTATTGACGTCCACAGGGAGACCTTCCAGAGCCCGGGATGCGTCCACTGCCATTGGAGTCACAAGACTTTGCACCCAGCGGCCTGGGATCTTCCTGCATTCTGCGCCAGTGCATGTGGCTGCGCGAGTCTGATGAGGGATTATGGACCGGGCTGGGATGTTTTCTTGATATAAAGTTCTTTCTTATATATATACGAAGGGGGACCCCAACCAAACTGGAATTCCTCCCACCCAAAGCTATGTATTTAAAATTTTTAAACAAAAAAAACCTTATCGCCTTCAAAGTTCTCTCCATGACACTTAATACATTTGTCAAATCTGTAATTCCCTTCTTGGAAACATTTTCAAACTCATCTGGATGGCGGACAGCACCTCCCTTGTTTTTTCCTCACCTCTTCTAATGTCGTCCAATAGCGGTCCTTGCATGTTCTTCTGTATTCACGGAAACAAAAAGAAGTCACACAGAGCGAGCGAGGTCAGGTGTGTGGGGCAAGAGAGGCATGCCATTTTTGCCCCAAACTGGCGCAGTGTGATGGCTGCATGAGCAGACACATTGTCGTGGTGCAAAACCAGTCCCCCGTCTGCCACAAATCAGGCCTTTTTTGTTACACACGGTTACACTATCTTTTCAGAACCCTTAAATAGAAAGGTTGATGAGCAGTCTGACCTGGTGGAACAAGCTCCAAATGCACTATGACCCCTGAGACTACGCCGCTTAATCATCCTTGGGGTCTGGAGCCGAACTCACCCCCATGGCCAAATGGAAAACAGGTGGAGAGGATCCGTCACAATGGTGAGGTGCTGCACACACCTTAGGACACCCAGCCATTTTAGATCGCGGGGCAGCGTGCACACAGGGCCAGAGTCCAGAGGGCTAGGGAGGAAGGAGGAGGAACAGGGGCCGCAAACGGGAGTGGGCTCAGCGCTGGCGCATTGAGAGGACGGCAGTGAGTGGGGCCGGCGATATGGGTCGTCGAATGGAAACTGGCGATCTGCTCTGTGAGCCTTCGCCCAACGCACAGCGAAGTTAAAGCAGAGCTTCCTCTGACGGGGGCCCTGCCTCGCCATCGCCCTGTGGCCCAGGGAATCTGCTAGTGGGCTGCTCTCTGGTGCCCTGACGAGTCACATCCTCTCTAAGGACACCAACAGTTGCCAGCAGCCAAGTGAATTTCATCTGTTCACAGGGGTCATGGGTTTGTTAGGTAGCTAGCTTAGGGACAGGCGGTTGTCCCTCCCATGCCTGCAAAGGCCCTCATAGAGGAGACTGGGAAGAAAGCAGGCAATCATTAGACACCTATGAAGACCTCAAACTGAGCATGCCCCCAAGCCAGGTAGGACGCACACCTGGGCGGGCCAAACTAGGCCCAGGCTCATGACATCACCCAGGTGAGCCTAACTCAGCCAATGGGGTCAACCAATCCCATCAACCACACCTTTCCCGGCCAGGGAGTGGGCTAGAATAAGGGCAGGGAGCACACGCCGGGACAGTCCCCAGCCCTGCTCCTGGTCAGAGGCAGGTAGAGGGCGAAGGTCTCCCTCTCCCGAGAGGGCACATATACACCCGCTCCGGGCCTGCTCAGGGCCCACAGCCTCTTGGCCCACATGTTCTCAGCCTGTAGGGTTCTTGGGCTCTGGCTTCCCGGGATCCCCCCAAGATCCTCATGTGTGGGTGTTCTTTTCCACGTGGTTGTTTGGGACCAGTTGTGAACCCCTTTGAGGCTATAATACCTGAAATGTATCCAGTCCTTCATAAAAACCCACTTGGATTACAAAACGGGCTTCGGCGTGAATTCTCTCATCGTGGGAAGCCAAGAACTGAGGTATTACCGACTCCAGAAACCTAATAGGTTCAAACCTTACCCCCCTCCCCCTGGCACAGTGGTGGGATTCAGCCCGTTCACATTGGTTCAGTAGAACCGATACCCGATTTTTTGGTTGAGTTTGGTTAACCCGTTGTTCACATAGCAATTGTAATCAGTATTCCCTCTGGGTGGCTGGGGAGCCGCCCAGTGTTGAAATCACAAGTTTACATGCCTTACTCTCTGCTAGCGTGTACCTCTTATTGTTCCCATTAAAGTGTTAACGGCATGAAATAAGAAACTGCCTTTCTGTCATTTTTTTATCCTTAAAGCGGTCATTGGGGGCAGGGAGGGTGCTCTCTGCTGGGAAAGGCTGCATCTCCCCCGTGCCGTTGGAGCCAGCCACCACGTGTTACCTACCGGTGACTCCCACTGGATTGTTCTCTGCTGCAGCGCCGTTCAGAGCCATGCACGATCGAATGGAGCATTTTAAAGAGCGTGACAGGGTTTTTAAAGAGAAAACCTGTTACCATGGAGTCCAACCTGACTCAAGGTGGCCCCCTGCGTGTGAGCACACAGCTGGGCATCGTCCGGTTTTCGTTGGTCTCGAACACCTGAGTGTGAGTTTGGAGTCACCGGCCTCCCAGTGAGAGCCAGACACCTTTGGTGCTGTGACCTTGGTGACCTCAGCTCCGGGCAGTGCTCTCTCCCCACGTCCTCCCGGGGCCCTGCGTCCGAGCTCTGCGTTGGGCAAAGGCTGCCTTTGGAAGGCTGTGCTGGGTGGTGCAGAGCAGCTCCTCCCTCCTGGCTGTCGCTGTTCGCTTCACAGAGCTGCCTGGGGTTGGGCGGGAAGGGGGTCCCCAGGGGCAGGTTCACTTCCAGGGGTGACATGGGTCTAAGGGCCCCGCCAGGCTCTCTACGGGACCAGTGAGTCGGTCTTTGTCTTCTGCCCTGTCTGGGGCTTTCTACGTGGTCTGGATCAGGAAGTTTGGTCAGCAGCGGTGGCCGGGCACTGCCTAGTCCTGCCCACAGGCTAGTGGAACCTGTGGCTCAGGTGGTCTGTCAGTCATTTGGACCCGAGTCTTTTCCTCTGTCCTTATTTACTCTGGATGAGGAAAGCAGTAGTCACCAGTAGATGCCTGTTCAGTCTGCTAAGACCCCAGTCACTCCTCGCCAGTCGGGTGTAGCATGTGGTCATTGTGAGCTACGTCATACCAGTCGACCTCGGTGTCCCACGAGCACAAGATCCCAATGGCCAAAGCCCAGAGACTCCCCCTCCCCCAGTGTGTGGGTACCACCGAGAGGTTCCGTGGCTTTGCTCTCTCTGTGGATGGGTATGTCTAGAGCAGATGCCTCATGTGTGTGGAAGGACCTCTGGCAGACTTGTTTACTCGTGGGTGGGCGTGGTCCCCTTTGCCAGCCTACACCTGTCCAGCCTGCAGGTCCACCTCTGTCCACTGGGAGGTCAGTGTGTGCCGCAGCAGGGTGGTGTGTGTCACTGCTGTCACCCTGATTGTCTGTAGATTGTGGGCACCTCTCAGTGCCCACGACTGCCCTGGTCAGTGTGCTGGCCATCCCCTCACCCAGGTGAACGAGACTTCCCTCCCTGCCCACCTCGGGTCAAGGCCAAAGAACACTTCTTTCTGTGGTCAACCTTGTCTTGCCTTTATACAATAGGGTCTCATACAATATCTGCCCTTTTGCAATTTAGGATTTTTATAAAGACAAGACTGCTCTGAACATGGGAGTATTCTCAGGATCAAATACACTCGTATCTGTGAAAATGCTGAGCGCAAAGCCTGGCACGGCACCGGCCCACTTCCGAGCGTCCGTTCAGTGAAGTGCAGGGGGCAGCACCAGCCTGGTGAGGCCAGGTGTGTGGTGGTGACCACAACACACAGACCCTTTCAGAAGGGCAGAGACCTTACAGGGTGTGGGGCAGCCTGGCTCCAGAGGACACTCAGCCCCTCCGTGTGCAGGGACCCCGGGCGTCTCCATAGGCTGTTTGCTTTGGAGGCAGGTCAGGGCTGAGGGCCACTAGGTATCCTTGTCGTAAACAGGGAAGGGCAACTGCAGGAAAGGTGGCTGCTTGTCGGGTGGCCCTGCCTGAGAGCACTCGGTGCCAGCCAGTGAGGGCCCACTGTCCTGTGTTCCACAGAGAGGACACTCGAGCACAAGGACATGTGAGGATGGAGATGCCACACTCCCTGCTGACTCGCCGGGACCCCAGCAGGGTCAGAGCCCCACATCTCCAGCCGCAGCCCCGCCCCACCCTCTGCAAGGACAGAGGGCGTCCCAGGGGCAGAATTGGCCAGCAGGTGCTGCTCTGTGAGCTGCCCCGCCACACCCACCCCCAGCAGACAGACCTGAGTCTGGGCTGGGTGCCCCAACCCCAGGATGTCTCCTGATCCCGGAGGGAGACAGGATGGGGAGTTGGCTCACGAGCTGGGCATGTCCCCCCCCTGGACCCTGAGTATCCTTCCTGTCACGAAACTCATATTGAGTCCCCCCTCCTCACCCGCCCCCAACCTCCCAGATCAGTGTAGGAGCTCTGAGGGAGCAGGGCGGAAGAAAGGCCGCAGGGACAGAGGATGCTAGACAGAGCTCCTAGCTAGTACCATAGGGAGACTTCTTTATCCAGCGACGGAGAAAAAGGGACTTCCAGACACATGATGGGGAAAGGAGGTTTATTTAATAAGAAAATTGTAAAAAATTGACTTTTAAAAAATAAGAATTGTGAACAGATTTCTTTAACAAGAAAATCGTAAAATCTAAATTTTTTCAAAGAAGAGAATTATAAAAAGATTTCCTTAAGAAAATTGTGAAAGTTTCTTTTAAAAAAACCAACAAAAAAGCATGGTATTTGTAAAAAGGAGGTTTTTCAAACAAGAGAACTGGGAGGTGATTTCTCTGAGCAGAGAAGTAGGCAGGGGACCCCTGGCAGGTGGTCACAAAGTGGGGTGACGGGGGTGCCGGCCCAGCTCCCCTCTGCCCCCTTGGCCCTCCCCGGGGGGCAGAGGGTAGGACACTGGGCCGTCTTCGCACACCTCCAAGGTGGGCCCGGAGGTGCGGCCGTCCGACTGAGGGGCCCTGCGCGCGGGGGCAGCGGGCGGGGCTCCGGGGTGGGAGCAGTTCAGCAGGCTCAGGTCTCTGGAGAAGCACAGCTCGATCTGCCCGAGGGTCTGCACGGCCTCGTCCTGTGGGGGGCGACCACCAGGTGGGCTGGCCAAGCGCGGGCACCAGAGGCTGCCCACCAGGGAGGACACGCCACCCACCGCACAAGGGAGCCCTGGTGCTGCCAAGGCCTGGTGCTCACTGCGAGGCAGACACTTCACACCCACCAGTTGCGCCCAGAGGAGGGGCTGCCTGCCCCCGCCCCTCCCCCAGGACCCGCAGGACCTGCCAGGCAGCGAGGCTCTGTCTGCAGCGCTGCCACAGCCCACCCTGATCTGACGGCACGCTCCCTGTGTGGGAGCCTGGTTAGTGAACGGAACAGCGAGTCAGAACGGTGCGATGGTGAGGCCTGGTGTGAACCCAACCAGCCCTGCCTGCAGACCTGGCCTTCGGTCCTCCAAGGGCTGCCTGGGAAACTCCATGGGGCAGGGCACACGAAGGCACACGCTCACGTGTGCTCAGAAGCACACTAGTGTACACTCTTGTTCACACACGCACATGCAGACACATGCTTACACAGGTTCACATGTACACTTATGTATGTGCATGTTCACACACACAGACATCCACACAAACACTCATGCGCACACATCCTCATACATGCTCACACACACTGTTGACATGCACATGCTTACACACACATGCTCACACACACTCATGCATACACATACTCATGCACACATACGTTCACAAACATGCTCACATGAATGCATGCACACATGTTCACAGTACACTCATGCACACACGTTTATATTCACATGCATGCTCACACACACGCTCATGCTCACATACTCACTCACCAATGCTCACAAGCACTCATGAACACATATTCACACACACATACCCACACATGCACATGCTCACACATGCATGCTCACATACACTTGTGCTCACACACTCACTTGCTCATCCATGCTCATAATCACTCGTGAACACACACGTTCACAGATGCAGACACACACACACTCACACACACGCACACACGTGCATGCTCACACGCTCACATTTGCTCACGGATGCTCACAAGCACTCATGAATACATGCTCACACCCTCATGCACACGCACACACATGCATGCTCACACACTCTCACCCATGCTCACAAACACTCATAGGCTCACATCTCCAGGAAGTCCCTGGTGACCACAGGGCTGAGCTTCTCCCAGGACGCAGACATGCACACACACGTATGTGTACACATTACCTGTGATGGCGGCAGACACTGGACCTTCGGCATCACCCCGTACACGCTGGCGAGGGCATCTTTGATGTCTGCAACCTAAAGTGACGTGGGCCCATGAGAAAGGCCCCCCTGCTGCCCACACACAGGAGGCTGTAGCACCATGACCCTGTGCAGCGCAGCTCTGGGGAGTGTGCCGGCTGCCAGAGCCGAGGGTACCACAGTCGGGAGACCATACCTGGCTCCTGAGAAGAGTCAGGCTATAGGGTGCTATCCCGCCTCCCTCCAGACTTGGTCCCTCCCCCAGCTCACCGCCAAACCACCCCACACAGTGACCCCTCTGCTCTCCCAGTAAAGCCAGACCCTGCAGTGCCCCTCACCTAGGAACCTGCGATGCACCCCCACCCACAATCCCCCTCTGCACACCACACCCACAGGTGTGGCTGCGGGGGCACCTGCCGCACAACAGACACACGGCCAGCAGCTGGAGGGCAGCACAGTGGCTGGTGCTGGATGTCAAGCATGGTCAGGGGCCGTGTGGTGCCGCCAGCAGGGAGGAAGCAGAGGGCGAGACCCACCTGGTAGTAGTTGGTGGACGGCTTGATCCCCAGCTTCTGGAATACACTGAAGTGGGAAGAGGGACAGAAATCAGCTGTCTGACCGGGTTGCTCTGACTTTCAAATACTCGTTTCTGAGCACTGCTGAGTTCTAACTTATCCCGTGCACAGCACCCGTTCCAGCTGAACTACAGGGGTTTCAGAGAGGGAGGGAAAACCGTCTGGTTGTTCCGGTTTTCTGCTGGAGTCTCCGGGCTTCCATCTGCCCCACAGATGCCGGGCAGGCCAGTTCCCACTGTCGCCTAAGCCAGTTCCTTACGACCAACTGTCACCCGTCTGTCTGTCTATCACCTGGGCTTCTGTGGGCAGGTAGGCCCCGACAGGGCGGGGGTCCACTGCAGCAGCCCCCCCTGAAGCTGGTCCTGACGTGCGTTGAATACCTTTTGGTTTGTTTGGTTTTCAGGATCTTTATAACCTGACCTCTGTCTTGGGGGACTGGAAATGCCACCCTTGCGTGCATGCCTTGAAACACTGCCCAGCACAGCCGAAGTGGGTGCAAACCCCAACCTTCTGATGAGCAGCCAGTGCTCAACCAAATACCCACCAATTCACAGCCGCTGTGTGGCACTGAGTCCCAGGGACCCTGCAGGGCCGCGGAGCTGCCGGATGCGGTGTGTGTGTTCCCACAAGTCGGGCTACACAACGCTGTGCCATCATCTGACTCACAGTCAGCCCACGGGACAGGCCAGAGCCCCCCTCCCTCCAGGCACTGTGGGCCGCAGGTGGCCCGGGCTTCCTGCAGCAGGGCATCCTCAGGGGCTCCTCCATGCGCTGCCCTCGCGGTAGTTGGCAGAACAGCGGGAGCTGCTCCCGGCCCTCCTGGAGCTGCCGAGCTGAGCAGCAGACTTGCTCCTGTCTGCTCCCCTCAGGACTTAGATGGCGATGTGAGCTACGTTTTGGGGGGTCAGGAAAACAAGTTTCCAAGCATCTTGCACTTCCCACAACCCTGCTTCCTTCCGTTTCAAGATGAGGGGTGCGTTTAATGCTCAGTTACACGGGGCGCCTCCAGGTGGGGCACGTCCCACCCACTGGCCATGGAAGACCCACAGGGTCCTCGCCATCAGCTAATGCCACCGCCTCGTCAAAGGGAAGGGTTTCCAGCCACCGCTTCAGGGACGAGTTAGCTAAATGTTTGGCCCAGGATAGTAAGCTCATTTTCAAGCTGATACTTTTGTATGGCCTGAGAGTGAAGTTACAAATATCCTAGATGGCCAGGGCCAGAAAAAGGTTCCCCACCCTCTGGCATAAGGAACGGAAAGGGTTAAACAGGTGCCGATGGGAGTGTAGCAGGACAGCACCCAGGCAGCCTACCCTTGTCTTCTGAATCCCAGCAGCTGTACAGACGCCCTCGCTCACACTCACCTGACACACTTGCTCTCACCCCCAGCTACACCCCCGTGCAAGCGGGCTTGTGTCACCTGCACATAGCCTTCACCAATCCTGACGCTGGGTTCCCCTTCAGAGTCCGGCCTCTCGGCTTACTTACTCCACAAACAGACTGATTCGGGGTGGTGAGGGGAGACAACCCCGACGCACACCTTTCCCGATTTCCACCCTGCCTATCCCCTTGTTCGGTTCCCACGACTGCCTCGTGGGCCCACGTACAGGTTCTTCTGCACGAACACAGGAAGTGCTCTGGATTCTCATCTTCTGCAACTTCAACCACGGTTTGCCATGATTCACACAGTCCAGTGCCTTTGATGTCCACGCTGGATCCCATCGACACCGCGTGGTCACACAGGCTGGTGTGCTTCTTCCATGTGGACTTTGTTACTTCTCAGCTACATGACCGCTTATTTACCTTCAAGCCTTCAAGACCCCAGATGTTCTATCTTCTGATAGCTGGGCACTATCAGCTTTCTTTACCACATTTGCTGATGTACCCGCTTTGTCTTCAGCGCTCGTGTCAGGAAGGTGAGCATCATGGAGTGACAGGTTATTAAAACAAAGTGTCCTTGCCTTGAGGGAGTACTTGAGTGGAGGCCCAATGTCCATCTGCTACCTTAAGACTAAACCTATAAACACCTAGATCCATTTCTCCATCATCATATATAAATATATTTACATATGTGCATGCCTGTATTTAGACCTCTGTAATTGCCCTTTTGCCTCCAAGTCCTTTCCTCTCTCCTTTTACTTTCCTCTTGTCCCACCATCATGCTCGGCCTTCATTCGGGTGGGCCACATCTTACTTGCACAGGACAGCTTGTTTCGGCTGGTGTTCCCCCTGGTTCCCGCAGCCTGTGTTTGGCTAATGCCTTCTACACCCCTAGATCATGTGCCCAAGTGACTTCCTGCGATGGCGGAGCACTGACTGATGCTTGGGGCACCCTGCCTCTGCATATCCCGCCGACCTGCCTCCGGGCATCCTGTGCACGGCGGGTTGTCCTCGGATCCTTCAGGATGACAGCCCAGGTGTCGGTTTCCTTTCCCTTCAAATGCCGTGCGAGCTCCCCCCTTTGTCTTCCTAAACCCAGTTCTTTGCCGGTTTCCTTAGGATACGAGGGTCAAGTCCAAATGAGTAGTTACTTGTGCACCACTCACATGTACCGGCTGACATCACACGAAGCACGTCTGAACCTGTCTCAGCGGTCAGTGGGTGACTGCACACCAGCTCTCTCGGGGACACCCTTGCCTGAAGTTGCACCGGGGGCTTCCAACCAGACGGGAACCTGGCCCCGTCCACCTGACAGCCCTGCCCCTGCTCCTTCCGACTCTGACAGGCTGAGTCCTCCAGAGATGCCCAACCTCCTCTAGACGTGCACATGCGGTGTGTCCACAGAGAGAGATTTACATCAAGGGGCAGCCCACGTACTGGGAGAAGTAGGTGCAGACAGTGCAGTTCAAGCTCGAGAGTTAGATGTCGGTTGGAGGCCTCTCCTGACGCCTGCAGCGGCCTGAGCTGCCGGACAGCAAGGAGGAAGACCGCAGCTGGTGGTGCTGGGCTGGATGAATCTAAGATCTGCAGCCTCGGAGACCCAAGGGGATGGGGCAGGCCTACACTGCCTGAGAGGCCACTGTGAGTGGCATGGCAGCAGGTGGGTTTGCAGGGGGCCGGGGGCAGCAGTGGCGGGCGGGCAGAAGGGACATGGACGGTGGCCCTACCTGTTGAGGCCTAGCTGCCTGTAGAGATCCAGGCTCTTCCCGAAGTACTTCCTCTCCGAGTCCAGTGTGTCCAGCTGGGCGGCGCAGGTCCCATGCTTGTCCCACTCGTGTTTCCTGCGGATGTGGACACACAGTCGTGGCCCCCGGTGGGAAGTTGACCCGAGGCCCAGCAGAGAGCCTCCCCAGCCTGTCTGGCCCACGAGATGGTCACACCAGCCAACAAACATCAGGTGCTTCACCACAGAGCAGCGGCCCGGCCACCACACGGGGTGGATTCATGTTTGACCACTGTGGCCATGTGGGCAATGATGTGATTAGCATCCAACTGCCCTTTGGGGGGATGGAAAGGTTCCCTCCGGCAGCTTCCTACTCCTGTAAAGTGACAGCCAAAGAAGCCCACCCGGGCAGGCTCTTCTGTTCCCTGGGGTCGCCATGAGTCAGAACCAACTCAATGGCAGTGAGTTTGGGCATTTTGGGAAGGATGGAATGCCATCCCTGTGAGGTGGCAAGGTGGGGCTTCGCCGGCTCAGGGACAGGCCCAGCTTTGGAGGATCCCTGTGCTCCAAGCACTCGGCACTGCCCATCAGTGCCCTGTGCCACCTCACAGGCAGCCTGGTTTCATGGAGCATGTCCAGAGGCCCTCATCGCCTCCCTGAAGAGGAGACAGGGACTAGCTTAGCGCTGTCCCTGCCCTCCCCCCCCATGTCCAGCAGTGACTGACCGCGCCTGGGGGCCCTGCCCAAGTGCCCAAAAACCAACAGCGGTTTGTACTCGAGAGAGAAAGACCACTGCAGACAGCCATCTTGGCACTGCCGTGCCACCCCAGCTGAAGGCTCTTAAACGTTGGCCCACGTATTTCCCTCATGGCGCTGCAAGATAAAACCCTCCCTCAGAGATGAGAAACGGGGAAACTGAGGCTCGGAGGGACTCACATGCGCTGCCGGCCTCTGGCCCCGTTGCCCCGTGTGGCCTCTCATGTGTCCCTGCCTGACATCGGACCGTCCGATTCGGAGGCTGGCCACTTTGATGGGGCCCCACATGGACTGCGGGCTTCTTCGACTCGGTGCGCAAAGAGTCAATGCCGGTTTCACACAGGGCATGCCCACGGGCACGGCTGCTCAACCACAGAAGCTACACCTGGGGAAATCCTCCAGTCTAAAAAAGAACCCACCTCACTGCCAGCAAGTCAATTCTGGCTCACGGCGGCAACCCTGCAGGACAGGGGAGAACTCTCCACACAGGAGCAGACAGCCTCATCTTCCTCCTGAGGAGCGGCTGGTGGTTTCGAACCGCTGACCTACTGGTTGGCAGCCTAACACGGAACCACTCCGCCACCCAATGACTGCCTTTGTTAGAAGTTTCTTACACTTCAGGGGGAAAAAAATGAGTTGAATTGGGCGGGGCAAGGAGAGGCACCTGACTGCCTTTCCTCCCCTACATGCGTCTCCAGGAGAACTGTGGAATTTAGGAATATAGAGTTTAGGAATAAAGAGTTTCCAGCTAGCTGCGGTCTCCTGGGCAGGAGCAGGACGACTTGTCCAGTCGGACTGGAAGGGGCATCAGCCTACAAGAGGGGAAACTCCCCTCGTTCAATTCCGTTTTTCTAAGAACCTTCTGGAGCCCCCTTGCAGGTGCCTTGGGGAAGTGTTAGTGCTGCCAGACTGATTCTCTCCTGATGTTGTCAGGAGAGACCAGTCCCTGGAGAAGGACATCATACTAGGTGGGGCAGCGGGGCAGCAGAAGAGAGGCAGGCTCTCAAGGAGACGGATGGGCACTGGCGCAGCAACCGTGGGCTCAGGCACGGGACGATTAGGATGGGGCGGGGCCGGGCGGTGAGGCCCATAGAGCAGAGGGGCATCATCTCCTGGGGTGCTGGGAGGAGTGAGCTGCAGCCTGCAGCACGCTCTGGGAAACTGACACTGAGGGGATATGACGAGGATGGTAGTTCCTGACATCACAGAGGGACTCTGGAAAGCTAGCCTTCCTCGGTGGGAAAGCCACCACTTTGGTAAGTTAAAGCCCAAGTACCTTATCCTGCTTTAAATATCAGGGACTTCACCACACTCGACTGACCCAAAGCTTTACACCATCCACCTGCGGTGACAGTGAATGACCCGATGGGCTCTGCTCATGCGGCTGTTTCCACAGTAACCGCTGAGCCGTCACTGCTGGGGCCACTATGAAGGCTGGGCAGGCCGTTTCTCCCTTTCTGCCCCTCTCTCCTCGGTGGGCACATCCACCAAGCCGTTTCTGGAAGGCAGACTGCCCAGAGCACGTGTTGAGCATCATCCACAGCGCTGGTCTCTCGGCCACTGAGCAGCTCTGAGCTGTCACAGAACTCCTGCCCTCACACGTCCTCAGGGTCCCAGGCTGGCACAGGCAGCTAAGGGCCCTGCTGCTATCCTCTTGCTACCCACCACCCCTGCATCTGGTGACCGCTGTGGACAGAGGGGCCAGCCGCCGATAGCAGCCTTGGACTGCTTAGGGGGAAGAAGTGGAAGTGGTTTGTGCACACAGGGCGTGGTGATCAGAGTAATTCCCTAGAACTTCCTGATGGGAAAAGTTCTCGAGCCCCGGGAAATATGCCTGCAGGGAGCTTCTACAACATAAGGCACAGTTACACAGCGGAGATGGACGCCCTGGGCCCGCACCTGGGCAGGGGTGGGTGTCCCTTCCTGCATGGAAAGCCCCCGTGTGCGAGGCCGCTGACTCAGCAGCCAGACCCCCGGATGCAGATGGCCGGCAGCCCCCGCTGTCCCACCAGACTGCTTCTGCTGACCACAGGGGATGACTTCACGCCATCGGCTCTTGAGACACCTGCACCGCAAAACCCCGTCTGGTTACCATCGGAGCCCCAGGTGCCAGTCTGGCACACCGCTGACCTCTTTGCGTGTAATCATGCGTGAGAGTGAGGATGTGGATGTGGGCCAGTCAGCAAGGACCAGAGAAGCCCTTGCCCCAAGAGAAGCTGCTGCTTCCTGACCCGGCAACGCTGGGGCCAGCACGCAGAGAAGGTGTCTCCATCTCCCCCCTGCTCCCCCTCCAGGGGACTCGGACCCATCCCCTGCCCCAGAGAGTCTGCTGGGCAGCAAAGTGGAGCTGGGCTTGGAGTCTCGGGTGGCCACTGAGAGGGACACTTACCAGAACTGGCTGCTGTTTGGGGACGGGTGAAGGACATCAGGCCAGTACATCTTCATTTCTGGCATGAGGTCCTAGGTGGAGGGGACAAAGCACAGGTGAGCAAGCCCACCCAGGGGCCACTTAACTCACACCCCGAACGCAGCCTTGGTGGGTTCCGCTGATTAAACCTGCCCTGAGCACAGGGTGACTCTGCTCATTAGGCCAGCACTCAAACCCACCCACCGCTCCGTGGGGGAAAGATGAGGTTTTCTACTCCTGTGAAGATGTAGAGCCTTGGAAACCCATGGGGGCAATTCTACCCTGTCCTATCTGGTTGTTACAAGTCAGAATCGACTGGCTGGCAGGGGGGTTAGGTTGGAGTTTTTGTCTTCAGGCATGATGAACGAGAAGTCTGAGACTCTAAAGAGGCCCTGAATCTGGAACCCACGTCCCCTTCCCCAGAGACAAGCTGCTCTGGGCGGGGCAGTCAGGGCCATCGCAGTGCAGACCCGACCCACCCATGTAGTTTCCCTGATGGTAGCAGACTGCCTTGTCTCTCTCTGCCATGGTTTCGATCTGCTGACCTCTCGCTTAGCAGCGAAGCACTGCACCTCTACTTCAAGGCCCCTTGTGCAGATGGGAAAGCCCCCAACCAAATCCCCTTCCATAGAGTAGATTCTGGCTCACAGCGGCCCCGTAGGACGGAGTGGAGCTGCCCGTAGGGTCAAAGGGTCATCCTCACAGCAGCCACAAGCTGCCCCTGGCCCCCGGAGCGGGGGTGGGTGGGTTCCAGCCAGTGGAGTGCTGAAGCAACCACTCCTGGTGAAGCAGGAGCCCTGGCAAAGCAGTGCGTCAAGTGTTGGGCTGCCAACTGCCAGGCTGATGGTTCAAATCCACCGGCTGCACTGAGGGAGAAAGATGAGGCTGTCTGCTCCCACGACTGACAGTCTCAGATATCAAACCTACTGCCATCGAGCGGATCCTCACTCAGAGCAGCTAGTCAGCCTCACCCTTCTCCCCTGGAGCGGCAGATGGGCTGCAGCCACCCTTCCTGTGGTTGGCAGGCAAGCTCTGAACCTCAGCGTGTGTGGCAGGTACCCCAAGTCTGGACTGAGTAAGGCAACCTGCAATTCCCCATGAGACCCCGCGGGACCGACCTTGAAGAAGAAGCCTAGTCTGAGGTGTTCTCAGTCCCAGCTCCCAGAGACCCTGAGCCTGTGAAGGACAGGGCCAAGGGGCTCAGTCCAGTGTGGGAGGGCTGCCACCTGGGATGCCCCACCCAATGGGAGGACACACATTCCTGCAGGGATCCTACATCCAGCAAACCTAGGTGCCACCTCACAGGGTCCAGGCAACATCTGACTCGGGAGACCCCATTGTGCTGAGCCAGCTAGGGGTGCCTGACACGTCCCTGGTTACTCACACAGACTGGGGCAACCTCCAAGAAGAAGGAGCCTGTGTGAGAGAGACAGACAGAGAGACGGTCTGACGTCCCATGTATGGTAGGTGAATTCCTGATCTCTCGGAAAGAGGCCGCGTCTGCTGTAGATCCGGTCCTCGGAGTCAAGGCGTCTGCCCTGGGGTGTGTTGCAATTCCTAACCCCTTATTTAGGATGGCACTGCCTTCATGAGCCCACCAGAGCATCGTCTGTCTGGTGTGTCATGGACTGGTCACCCAACACCTAGCAGGTGGAAGAGCACCTTTTTACAAGGTGCTCTTTGTTCTCGATTATCCGGACCCAGGAGGAAACCCAGGAGAAGCGTAGACCAGAGCCTGAGGCTGATGGATGGGTGTAAGTCAGGAGGGGCCCGCCCCTCGCTGCACTCCGGATTCACCCTGTCTTGGCTGGGCGGGGGAGGGGTGATAACAGCTCTGAGCCCTGAGACTCCTGAAAAGCTTCCTGGTTGGTCACTAGCAGGTAGAGGGGAGAGTGTCCACACCCTGTGGGTGTCTCTGTTTGCACCCCTCTAGGTGGAAATCCAGTGTAGCTGCAAGTCCTAGTGCTTTAGGACATTAGGAGACCCCCAGGGGGTCTCCTTGGGGGAGTAGTACAAAGCCAGTGAAACTGGGGGGAGGGGGGGAACAGGGGGCTGCGGCTAGGAAAAAGTGACCCTCTAAGGAGCAAGCGCTGCCCAGCCCTGAGAGGCCAGGTGGGAGGGAGAAAGAGAGAACATGGGCATGGTATCTGTGATGCTGGGAAAAGGGCTGTACCTCCAGACAGGGGTGGGGGGTGGGGGGGACCTGGGGTCAGGTGCCCTGGCAGGCAGTTAGCAGGAGGTGGGACCTGCTGAAGGTGCCTTGAGCAGACCAGACCCAGGATCAGGGGGCTGCTGCGTGAAGACCACCCAGGAGG